ATTCAGTATTGATTCAATTATATATATATAGTTAATTTAACGTAAACCTGAAAGAAGATTGGGAGCTAATGGAATAGAAGAAATTCTTCATCATCCTTGGCTCAAAGGATTTCCATGGGATGATCTCTTAAAAAAGAAACTTACAGCTCTTTATACTCCAGGAGTAATTTGATTTATCTAAAGTAGTCTGTAGATAATAATTTTGATTTCCAAAATTAGATATCAGAAGAAACATAATTGAATGATGAGTAACTACTTGAAAATTAAGTAATGTTACGACGAGATACTGTCTAAGGTAATAATAAGATAATATATATATATAGCATTATTTGATGGATATCAATATGATGCTGATCTCTCAAAATTATAACATTAATAAACTCAAAAAAATTCATAGAGAAGATTTTAACAATCACCAGACAAAAAATGAAATCTATATATATATATATATATGATTAGTTAATATTAATTTGTATTTTTTTTGAATATTGTTTCATTATCCTTTTCTTGATGAAACTTATTATTATTTGGTTACTGCATGTTCTTCAATCAATGAATCACCAACATATTCATTTACTCTTTTCTTGAGATACTCATTGACAGTTGCAATCTTTTCTCTGTAAATCAATAAAGATTCTTCCAATAATTGATTCTCTTCATGTCTCTTTTCCTTCTCTGCATTATATAACTTCTTCTTGTAATTGTATTCCTCTAGAATAACCTGTAGATTCATGTAATACCTTAAGTTAAACTAAGAATTCTCATGCTTTAATCTTATAACTCCTTCTTTTTGGTTAAAATATCAGAAGCTAATTCTTTGTCATTTTATAAGGAATTCAAAAACTTGGCCTTTGCATCATATTCTTATTTCAAAGATTCCTATTCAGCCAAAAGATTTGTCTTAAAATCAGCAAAATCATTAGCAGATTATATTTCCTATTCTTCCAATCCCTTAATAGTTTCTCTTAATTTTTCAATTAATTATTAAATTACTCCTACTACATCTTTTGTCATCAATTACACTAATTATTCACCATTTCCTCTCTATCCTATTAAATTAATTATCATTTATACTGGTTTATGAAAATTAAGTTTCATCATCTCCTAATTTCACAAAGTCTTAGACTGCTTATTCTTCAAAAAGATTAGCATATTTGCTCAATTTCTCAGCATAATCTCCAACATGATTCTTTTCAATCAAATTGGTTTATTTGCTTTAAGCATCACTTCTAACCCAATCAAGTACTGAAAGTGCATTTTTATACTCTCTAAGGGTATCAATGAATAAAGCATTGGCTTCACAACGTTACCTATAATCTAATGAATATGTGGTTACTCTGCCAAATTCTCTAATTTAACTTCATTTGCCTTGTATCTCTTATTATTCCAATTCAAGTAATCTGTAGTTTATTGAATTTTCAAACTTAATTAAATAAAATAAACAATTACTCAACAGCTTCAAGGTCTTATGAAGCAGCTGCAGCACTCTTTGAATTTACATTCACAATTCCTGAGAATTCATTGATATCTTATAAGATAGCATTCTCAAATCTCTAGAATGTGAGATCAGCCTTGTCTTAGGCTTCAATATTTGCACCTTGTAAATCTTCCAAGAGTGTTAAAACAGATTATATAGCATCCTATGAGCTCATCACATTTGTCTTAGAACTAAGCAAATTCAAAAAATCTGTGTTGATCTTCTTTGGACTGCACAAAACACTTTGGCTCAATAGTAAAAACACTAGCACTCCTGTTACACTCTTCATTATTAATTTTATTATTACTATAAATACCGTTTTTATTAATATTAATTAAATCACTAATCCTATAATCTTTTTTTTATTCCTTCTACTCTTTATCATTCAATCATCTGACATATTCTATTTTCTTAAGTAATTTCAATCTCTAATTCTCTCTAAACATATGATTTAAATATCTTCCTATCACAAAGTCAATTATATCTAAATACATATATGCCTTAATTCAACTCTCCTATTTATCAAAATTCCAAGAATTATATATATAATAAATCTTCTATTATATAATTTGCCATCAGAACTGTTACATGCCGATTAAAAACATATTGAAATAACAATCTAATCTAAACTAGAATTTCTTTATTATATGATAAAATTCTATTATATAAATGTCTATCAATTGGGTTATTTTTTTAATTTATGCATCCTTAATTCCTTTCTTTATTATATTCTATATAATTTAATTTACTACTTTTTAAAAATTGGTAAATAAATATTTATGTTATGTTTTCATATAAATTTTAATTCATAATCTTAAAATTTACATTAGTATTTTTCCAATTATCAAAATATATTTGTCTCTGTTATGTTTACTTATATGTTATAGGTAGTAAATATTATTTAAAAGCAAGGAATTTGATATAAATATCTTGATACATAATCTAAATATTATCAATAACTTTTTTATGATATGATTAAATCATAATGTATATTTTTAGGAAACATTACTATTTATATTCATTTTAAAATATTTATACTTAACATAAACAATTTACACACAATACTTTTATAATACAATATATTAATATTAAATAAAATGTATATTAGTCTTTCCTCTTAGAATAAGACTTGGTGGACTCATACTTCATTGGTGCCAACTGAAACTCATCAGAAGGTGTAGGATGTTATAAATGGAGTGGGTAGTTTCTAAAATAAGGCAACATTGATTTCTACCTATTTGAGTTTGGAAGCAGTTAACAGGATTCCTGTTGCTAAAAAATTAGCTATATATTTCAAGGCAGCAATAGTGGGTGCTACATTCTTTGGATCAAGGTATAGAGAATGTATAATTAAAGAATTGCAGCAGGGTCTTTTTATTAAAGAAGCATATAATCAGAAGTTAGCAAATTATTGGATGGTGCACCAATTTGGGAAAATAAGTTTGATGTACCTGAGTTGGATAAGAAATTCTTCTTCATTGATGACGATAACAATTTCGAACCTTCTTTATGGCATCACGGAATGTATGATATTATTAATTGTAAAAGTAATTCCATTGAGAAGCCAAAGGTATTTTACAAGCATGAGTGATTTTAATCATTTAATGGATAAAATTTAAAATAAAATTAAATCTTTAAATAAATTATGGGACGTATGCAAGCAAAGGGAAAAGGAAAGGGTATCTCAGGATCAGCCCTTCCATACAAAAGAAAAGCACCAAAGTGGTTGACACTCTCATCTAAGTCCATCGTTGATTAGATTGTAAATTTGGCAAAGAAGGGTACAAGAATAATGTAAATTAAGGTCTTAATGGATCATAAATTGGTGTTTATTTGAGAGATCAATAAGGAATCCCATAAACTAGATTCTTAACTGGTCAAAAGATCTTGAGAATCTTGAAGAAGAGAGGTAACTATAACCTTTAATTAAGGTTGTGCACCAAAAATTCCTGAAGACTTATATGCTTTAATTAAAAAGGCTGTCTAAATCAGAAAGCATTTAGAAAAGAATAGAGGAGATATTACAAGCAAATTCAGATTGATTTTGGTTGAAAGCAGAATCCATAGACTCAGCAGATATTATAGAAGAACCCAAAAATTGCCATCAAATTGGAAATAGTAAACATAAATCTCTAAACATATAGTGTATCAAAGACTGCATCTGCCTTAATCGGTTAATGAGCAAAAAATTTAATCAAATATAGTACATTATTAATATAATATAAATAAATAATTCCTCATGTAAATAGAGAGAATTTCTTTTTCTATTGTTACACTCCAATTAAAAGAGGTTCAAATTATTTCTTAAATTACCAAATTTGATCAGAGACATTAGCCAAACCTTACCATTATGATTCCATACGAGCTATAAAAATAAATTTAATATATATATACCATCAAATGATTTAATTTATTCTTGTAATTCATCTCTATTTATCCTAATGTTTTCTACTTTATTATTAAGTAAATCAATTTTAATTTCTAAGTTTTTCTCAATCTCATACACATTTAAACCAATTTAATTTATTCTTTCATTCACTTTTACTTCATCTGGCTTTAGAGGATGATTTTATTGATTTAATGAAGAACTCATAGATAGAGTCTAAATTTAAGTCCCACCTAAATCACATTATAATTATTCTCGAATTGCTTCAAAACTAGATTTTAAATATTGGAGAATACTCCTTTTAATAGTTAATCATTTTATTTACAATTGTATATCAACCAATTAACTTTAAAATTGATCTAATTTTTAATTAATCTCTTTCCAATTAGGATTGCCTTCTTCAGGAATATGTAAAAACTACATATATTGAATATGTATATTGTACATTTCTTATTATTTATTCTACTCTCTAAGTAAATTAGTCTGAATGCTCGAAATCCATAATATAATTATAAAAAAATTATTAATTAATTCATTTCTATTAGATGAATTGCATAAAGAGCTATTCTTTAAAGGAATCTATCAACTCAGTTTCATTTGGTATAATATAGGATTCATTTTTCATTTTTTATTTGGTTAATTGAGATCTACACATTGGACAAGAATCTTGTTCTTTAACTATAAACCATCCATCTATACAATCTTAACAATAACTATGTCCACAAGGTAGTAATTTATCAATCTTTTTTTCAAAACATATTTGACAAGTACCTTCTTCTTTTTAAAAATCAAACATTAATATTGATTACAAATCCTCTAATAATTGTCTACAATAGTAAAATTTCTGCTAAGTAATTAAAATATATTCCTTATCAACAAATATTCCAATACATAATTCATCTTACTTTTTAAAAAATGGAATAGTATCAAATAAATCTTATTTCTTTTTTGTTACTTCTGCTAGTAATTATTTACCCAAGCATTATTTAATTGTTGGAGATCTTTAATTACAAAAGTTCAATACTTAGCTAACAGATTAAATGTAGCCACATCCTTAATGAGCACATGTAAAGGTCTTTATTCCTATGTTTATTGTTATCCCATAATAATATTTATATATAATCTCAGAATCTGTTATCAAAGTATTAATATATTGCTGTTAATTTCTAAGACAAATTGTTCTAATATTCTTTCTACTATCCCTAATTATCTTGTTCTCTCAGAAGATTAAGCATAATAAGTATTTTCTAAAAGATCACACCATTCATGTTCAGCATCTAATGTTTATTGAGTTTATTCTAATTCCAACTAAATATTTTATATTTATTTACTGTATGAACTTCATAGAAATGAGGCAATATCAATATTAGACTTGAATGTTTGAAATTGCTTATTCTAATTGATTCTTTCTATCAACCAATCTATTTAGTTCATGAGTCAAATAAGTTGAAAATTCAACCAATCTTTACCTTATCTATTTTCAGTATCCTAAATTTATGACATACCATTACTTCCAATATAGATCCAACTCCTATTATTTGTATCTAAATTATGAAAGTAATTAAATAATTCTTTAGATTGCTTTTTGATCAACTTTTGTGGCTAATCCATTTTAGGCAGTAACAATAGGTTAAAATAGAGCACCATAAATTAATCTCATTTATAAAGCTTCAAATTTTGGTTTAAGTTCAGCAAATTTTGCATCCAAAGAAAGATATTAAACTAATTAATTAGTAGTTTCATTAACGTCATATTCACCATTCTTTTTAACCCAAGTCTTATGTGCCTTATTTCTGTTGGTTTCCTCTTAAGCAAATATTCTTTCATTACTTTCAATATCCTTTTTATTATATTACAATTGATTTGATTATACTTATTATAAAATGTTTAATATAACTAAAATTATATATCTAAATTTTATATGATTTTATATAATTATTACTTATATAGTTTATCTGACATCAGTTTCAGTTTCAATTTCAGCCAATGCCTTTTCATTATCTTCTCTCATTTAAGCATTGGCTGCTACTTAAGCTGTGTGATACGCAATAGAATTTTCTAAATCTGTAATAATAAGAGTGCATGCTCATCTGCCAACTTTAAAATATTGTCATGTTTATTTAATCATCAACTAATCCAGCTAAGACTTGATTAAGTAATACTAAGATTTCTTCAGCATTTCCTTTTGATTGTAAAAACATTCGGACAGTTGAGAGAATAGTATTTCCAAAGTTATTAGCATCAAATTCTACCAAAATAGTTTTAGTATCGTTTTAAACTGCAAATACAGATTAAATGATTAATGAAAAAATAATTAGTTTGTATTATTAAAACATATTAAAAATTGATATAAAATTTAATCAAATCATTTTTATTTATGTAAATATTTCATCCTTAAATATGTTAATCATATATAAGTGTGAAAATATTTACTAATTAATGAGTTTCTAAAATTATGACTGATTAATAAACTTAATAAAATAAAGCTTTTATAAATTATAATGAAGATTTCATATAAATTTATATATCATTTATAATACTCAATAATATGTATAATAGATATTTAAATACTTAGATAATAATTAAAAATAAATTTATTTAATATATTGGCTAATAATGATGATTTAAGTAAATAATTTAAAAAATGTTAATTTACAGATCAACCATATAATTTGGATAATTAATTTCCATTTTTTTAAATTAAGATTTTTACAATGGAATTAAGAGAAATTAGTTAAAGGCATATATAATGTAGATTAATTTTATAAATATTTCATAATTTGAAATGCGTTTTGTGATTGTAAAATCCAATAATAACTTAATAATTGAGTATAAGTTCCTAACAAAATTAAATAAGCAATCTATAACATTTAATTATCCAGAATATACTTTAATGGATGATTAAACTCTGTTGATTAATATAATATTCATAGAGTTTATTTTAAATTTATCATTTATAAATTGACAATCTTAATCCATTTATAATAATGTAAATGTTCAAGTTAAATATTAAATGTTATTTAACTGAAGTAAAAGAAAAACTCTATAAGATTCAATAATCGATTATGATATAATTAATTTTATTTAAATAATTGTATATGATTATAATATGAAGTGGATACAAATAATAGTTGATTAAAATATTAACTTGACGTAGAGTTAGATGATGATTGATAGATTAATGTAAGTAATCACAATATAAAAATCAAAATTTTGAGACTATTATTAAAAAAAAGTTTAAATATGAATTAATAACAATTTATTCATTCTTCTCGTTTATCTACAGAGATTGGAGATGAGAAAATGCTTTTGCATAAAGACAAACTACTTCAAAAGATAATAGAACAAGTTCAATTGTTAATGTCCAATACTAATTAAGTATTAATTTTTGTATTAATAGTAGGCAATAGAGGGAGATTAACAATTCTATGATGGATTCAAATATGGCATTGCTCATTAATAGATATGTAGATAGAAATATATATTTTTTAGCTGACATGATGTCATAGGTTTAGATGAGTTCTAATATAGATCAACCTAGAAGAGTATTTTCATAATAGGTTTTCACTAAAATGTCTTAGATACTCAAAAGTTACAGCACTCAATAACACAAGGTTACCATAAAAATCAATTAACAATTACACTATTTAGCAAGAGATACTATACGAACAATTTAAGAAGCTTTTGAAGCTTGTTAGTAAGTTGATAAAGTTCAATTATGTGGTAAAGATGCCTCCTTTAAATAATACGATAAATATATTAGATAATTAGATTAATTGGGATTCTTTTGGGAATAATTACATAGTCTAGAAAATAGAACCATTACAATAAATAAGGAGACTATTTCTTCTGAAATATCATAATATTTAGATCAATGGTTGGATACTTTAATATAGAGATTTGATTTTAAATAAACTTCACAAAGAATCTAAACACCATAATAAGTTAAATCAATTTAAGCTTCAAAAGTCTAACCTTAAGTGGATCATAGATTAAGAAATGCTCATGAATTATTTGCAGGACTTGGCAGAGAGAAAGATTAAATAGCAGCTCTTCAATTATACACTAAATTGGCAGAAGAAAATAATGCAACAGCTTAAGCAATTATGGGATAAATATGTTTAGAAGGGATAACAGGACCAAAAGATTATGATTAAGTAAATTTTAATTATTATTTATGTTAGGCATTTAGTTATTTTAAAAAAAGTGCTGATTAAAGGAATACATTCAGTTTATATCATACTTCCAAATTGGTTTTGGTATTTATTAAATTAATTATTAAAAGGAAGGAAAAGTATATGATAAATTCTCTGATAAAGATGATAATAATACAATAGTAAGTAAATATTCAAGTGAAGCATATAATCGAAATTATGATTGTACTTTTGCATTAACTCTTTTAAAAAGAGCTGCAGAATTAGATCATTTAGAATCCATGATTTATTTGGGAGATCTATATAGTAATGGACTTCAATTATAGGATTGTAGAATTTCAATAATAATTTATTAGATACCTTAGAGAAAGATTATTCAAATGCTGAATTCTATTACAAATAAGCTAAAAATAAGAATTCTACATAAGCAATGCACAAATTGGCACTACTTTATTAAACAATGTGTAAATAACCACTTTATAAAGTAAATTATATATTTATTGAATTATAGAATAGAAGTTAATTAATATAACCACTCTTAAATCAAGCTAAAAATCAAGATTATTTACCTGCTTTTTATGATTTAGGATTATTACTTTATTAAGGATTATAAGATGAAGTAGAATAAAATTAAGTTATGGCTGATTTGATTTTTGAATAGGGATGCATGAAAGGTGATCTTAAATGTGGTTAAAAATTACTTAGTTTAAGATTTTAAGCATTAAGAAAAAATGAAGTAGCAATTGATGATTTCTTCTCTTTACTTGATTAAATTGAAGAAAATAATAAGGATTGGACTATAACTTATTATATGAGAGGAAAAGTTTATGAAAAAGGTGTTTAAGTGGAGAAAAATTTAAAGAAAGCACAAGAATAATATAGATTAGGTTACATGAAGGGATGCTAAAAATGTAGAGCTTAATTAGATAAATATTAAAAAGATACTATTCCAACAGATAATAATCCTACTAATTCTTAATAATCTTCTTTAAATCAAAGATAAACAATTAATGGATTCATAGAATAAGTAAGATAATCTGAATGGAGAAGACCATTTTAAAAATAGAGATAAGTATCTATTGGAAATGTCTAATAAATCTTTAACAATATTGATAATGATGTTTAATCTACAGTGTATAAGATTATTTTGATTAATTTTAGTTAAGATAGATATACTAGAATGACTATTAGTATTACTAGACCAAAGAATCAAACTGATGATAGAAAGAGAGGAGTATCTGCTTCTGAATTGCCATTGTAAGATATGGGTAGAAGTATTCTTCTATCATAAATGAAATCTCCTGAGAAAATTCATTAACATTCTTAGTTTTGGTCTCCTAGATTACCATCTTAGTAATCTTAAGCAGGATCATAAATTACTAATTCTACTACCAAAAAAAGATTCAATCTCAATAAAATTCGGTAAAATAATTATCCAAGCAATCAATTTGAAAATGTAGTTAAATGAATTTATTAGAGTTATTTTAATTATTTTTTTATTTTAACATATTTTTATTAATTCTAGGATATGATTAATTTAATAGAATCATATATTTTTAATTAATTCATTTATATATTTATTTTTCTGCTAACACTATTCCAAAATATATCCTATCAATTAGGAAAAAGAAAATTAAAGAATACTTAAAATAATTTCTAATAATTTTACAATTTTTATAAATTAAAGATAAATTTGATAATGCATTTCAAGCAGTCTGAATAATCAATTATAAATATATAATTTCTTTTATGATATTTATTATACTATTTGTAGGTTTTGTTTAAAGTAGTGTACCACCTGGAACAGGAGAATGTAGTGTTTATACTACATAAAATGATTGCTTGAATTCTGGTTATTGTAAATGGAGTGGATCTTCTTGTGGACTTTACACTTCTGATTAAGATTGCTACAGAATTGATGAAATAGGGGCTTGTCGTATTAATGGAAAATATTAGACTCTATGTACACCTTTGGATTTAGTGAGTATTGAATATAAGAATGTATGTGGAGTAAGTGCTACTGTAGATTATAATTATGTTAGATACCCAATTATTAATAATGGATATTCAACATACTCAATCTCTGGATTGACTGTTGCTTAGTTAAAGGTTGCTAAACCATAAATGAATTTTCTATATTAAATTTTAACTTTGAATATTCAGGTAGCTCAAAATTCAGAATTATAAGAAATATTGGATTTATATTAAGAATACGAACCTGCATTTCTAAATGCAACAGTGCATCCCTTTTATTTAGAAAAGTGTTTATTTTAAACATTACAAAATTTAAGAGATGATACAACTACTTTAACTAAAGCAGAAAAAGAAAATACAATAACTAAGTTTTGGAATATAGTATAAGTATATTAAAAGAAAATGGCAATTTATAGTAAGCATTATCAAACAAACTACTACTTTTTGAATTTTGCTTAAACTACATTCTCAAGATTATTTATTTCAATTGAGGGATAAGATCACACTACTTCATTGACTTGGATCAAATATGAAAGAAATGGTTTCATATAGGTAATATCTTATACTCCAAAATTCTTTGGTATTAATGATGCTTTAACAGATGTAATTTATGTGAATGTAATTGCTGAAGATGGAACACCATTTGTGAAAATTGAGAATATGGAAATAATTTACACTCAAACAACAGGGACCCTGACTAATATAGCAAGGCAATTATAGTTTATTAGTGATAAAAAATAAGTACCTCATACATTTTCTTCCTCATTAACATCAACACCATGTGATGATATAGAAAGAACATGTAAATTTACCCTTCCATCACCTTTAACAGATTCTTAATTTATTTTTTATATATAGAAATGAATTAATAAAATTATGATCTCATTAATTTTCATCTTCATCATAACTATGTATGCTTAAACATATGTTGGATAAAGTCCATGTAACCTATTATCATCAACAGATTGTGGAACAGATGCAATTAATGGTAAAGGCTGGTGTTATTTGGATACGTAAATTTATGACAATAATATGATAGTGTTACAAATACATGTTAAAATTTACCATGTTATCTTATTGATGAAGTAGCTGCCTGTCGAACAGGAGGATCATTAATAACTGGTGGTGCAAATTTAGAGTGTGATTCCTTAGAGACATTTAGTCTATAATATGATAATGTGTGTTGCGATAAGAATCTTGGAAAATTGAATTATGCCTTTGTAAGATTCACTATGAATTTTGATGGATATGTTGATTAAACTAATGATACCCCTCCTATTCCTATGGCATCTTTAGTTATTACTACCAGTGTCAAACACATGTTTAAATTGTATACAATCAACCCTTGGCTGGTATCCTTGGAAACAACTGAAGCCAATTTTCAAACTAAACTAATTGCTATCTTAGATAAATACTTAGAAAGTACTACTCGAAATGAACTACTTACGTAATCAAGATCTCACCCTTTCTACTTAGAGAGAACAGTCTACTAAGCTTTATAACTACTCAGAGATTGGACTGTCATGCATAAATCTACTATTTCTCTTAGAAATGCCATTCTCCCTAAGATTAGAAGTGTAGCTCTTGTTGCTTTAACTAGAATGACAAAATTTCAACCAAACTATTATCAAACCAACTATTATTTTGTTAATTTTGCCATCATTCCTTACTTTAGAAACTCACTTAAGATTTCAGGTTAATTACACACTTTGACAATTGATTGGAGTGGTTATGCTTATACTGATAATGGTTATGTGATGGTGTATTCATATGCCCCAGAATAATTTGGTATAATTAAAGCTTATTCTGATATTGTTTGCATTCGTCCATTCCTAGGAAATAGTGTAACATATGTAGATGCTGAAAATAATTATGATAATGCTTTTTCTTCAATTAAATTTACTTATTATTGGTCAGATACTACTCAAACTATCAGCGACCAAACAAAGGTTAAATTATTTAAAATTAGTGATGATACTTAAACTATTACAGATACATTAGCTACTTTTAACTGTGTTGCTGCTACAAGAACTTGTACAATTACTGCTAATTATTCACCTTCTCCTACTCCAACAGACGGTAAAGGTCAAAATTATTTTATTGGTCATGCCGACTATAATCTATAACAAAGTGATAAAAAAAGAGCATAATGTATCTTGGCTTATAAGACCTGGACAACTACTTGCGCTTGAGTTTTTTATTGAGAAATTTAAAAAATTAATGTTAAATAATTATCATTTCCTTTTTCATTAATATATTACTAAAAAGAGAAATAGTAGTAATAAATATAGCTATAATTATACCAAACTAGATTAGTTTATTAATGCACAAATATTATTATTTTATATTTTATATATTGAATAATTTAATAAATATATGAATTATTAAATTAGGCATAATTATATTGATTCTTATAACATTAATCATAAATTCATTAAGAGAATTCGATAATAATACTAAATTTAAATCATATTTTTTAATTTGTAAATACTAAATAATAAATATCTATTTTAATTTATTGATAATTTAAATTTAATCTTAAATAAATATTATTAGAAATAGGACATTTGTGCAATTATTTTGAAAGAATGACTATTTTTCAAATTTAACTAAAATATTTATATTAATATTATATATTTATTATTTAAAATAAAATTAAAATATGAAATTTATTATAATCACATTTATCACACCATATTTACTATTAATGTTATTCAAAATTAACTATACTAAACAATAAATTTATTGCAGAAAAGATGAAATCAAAGATTATTAAAATTAATTCTTTCCTATAATTTACATAAATAATGAGAATAATGAATATGTATATAAAGAGAATCCATAATTTTTAGAATAGATTACTACTTTTGATGAAGAATTACTAAAGGATGATAAGATATTAATTTATTCAAACATTTAATAATAAAGATTACTTTAAATTTATTAAAGAGAAGAGGAATATTTATTATAAATAAAAGATATCAATTTAATCATTATTGATTCTAAGGAATATTAAATTAAAATGGAATTAATATATTCATTTAATTTCTAAATTGAAAATTGTAATAAAATCATACATTCCTATTATCTGAAATATTAAAAATTTATAATAGTTTGTGAATAAATTGAAAATTATTCAATAAAAATAATCAATTTAAATTAATAAACAATTTAAATTCAATAATCCTTTGATTATATTAAAGTGACAGAATGCTAATTTGATGTATATTTAAATGAAAAATATTTCGAATTCTGTGTGATATATTTAAATTGTTTAGATTGGAAAATATATATACTTAATTTTGAAAAAGATGATACTCAAGATATTATATTTTTTTTAAATTCAGATTTACTTCTAGAATAATAAGATGTATTAAGGAAAATTAGTTTTGATGAAACTTATTTTCTTTTGTTTGATCATAATATTTATGAATTTTAATTATACAATCACAATAAAATATATACCAATAAAGAATCTAAAATTTTAGATTTTAAAAGTAAATCTAATAATTATATCATTATTTTAGAATAAAAAAATGAATAGAATAATATTTAAAGAATAATTAAAAAATATAAAACATAGATAATAATTACAAAATAATAAAAACCTAAATAAATAGTAATATTATTTGATTCTATTATCTTAGTTAGTGAATCATATCTTGAATGCATTGTTAGATATGATATGGCATTTTTATTACATATTTAATTGGATTCAATTCAAACTTTCTCATTTTATCCATTTTTCATAGGTAAAAATATTAATAAATTTATTATCATAAAAAAAAATAATTATTCTCCTTTTTTTAATTGTAATGATTATTTAAATTAAACAGATATACATTTGGCTACAAGCAATTTATTTCAAGAAACTCAACTCAAGTAACTATAATTAACATTCAATTTATCCCAATAAAATAAAGAATTAAATTTATCAAATTATTTAGTTATTAACAAATCAATTGTTGAAGAGAATTTTTAATTTTAATTAAAATTAGATGAATTTATTAACCCATTTCCAGCAGCTAAATTATAATTTCTATAAAATAATGAAATTTAATGTGAAGATTAACAACAACAAATTATTGATGAATGCTTTAATAAATATAAATATGATTTTTTATGGTAAATTAATTATATTTATGTTAATCTAATTTATAAAGTTTTTTAACTAAAAAATTTATAAATAATTATTATTAAATGTAATTCAAATGAAATTCATTATTTAGGAAATTTTGAAAAAGTAGAAGAAGAAAATGTTTATTTATTTTCAAATAGTTTTTTTCTAATATCTAATAAAAAAATGAAAGTTATAAGAATTACAATTATAGGTAAGAATTAATATTTATAAAATATCTATGAATTTAAAGACTAAATAATTATTATTTAACATTTAAATCCTGGTTACTTATTTATTTTAAAATCTTGTGTTAGCTATCTTTTATAAGATAATAATTAGATTATAGAATTATAATAAAATTACAAATTAGATTCCAATGGATAATGTATTTAAGAAAAGTTATTTTATAAAAACTTTTTGGAGATTGATCAATTAAATCATGTTTTCATTTTCAAAAATGAATTTATTACAAATATTATTCATTTTTAAAATCAAACAGTACTTAATTTGCAATAATTTAATTAAGATAAAAATTAATTTTTAATCTTATCAAGAATTAATAATAGTATTTTTGCTATTAAATATTATTATTACAATTTCTAATTTATTATAGAGTAATAAATATTAGATCAATCTTATAATTATGTCTATCCATTAATTCATAGTTTAAATGGTTTTTATCTTGTGATTGCTGCTTTTGATTATCGAAATACATCAGTACTTTTAATTTATCGCCAAATAAAATATGATTAAAACCCATTAATTGATATTATCCAAGTTGATAATTTTACTTTCACTTTGACAATGTATGATTAAGTGTTATTCTACCAAGAAGGAGTCTTGAAAAAATAAAAAATTTTATAGACTTAAATTAAATGTAGAATAAATTATTTTTCTGAACCGAAAAAGAGTATAAAAATACCAATTCTTTTTATCAATAAATTTAATGAAACCCTTTCTAAATTAGATTATATTTAGTTAAATTTAATCAATAATTTTCAGAAACTGAAACCTATTACTAGTTAAGTTGTCCAATATAAATATCATTCTTTTTCAAAATATATTCTATTTGATCCCAGAAATTTTGTTTCTGGTTGTATCGAAAGTATATCTACAAATACATTTGACTTAATATTGCCACTAAACAAAGTTGATCAAATTAGTAGGCGAATATGCTAAGAGATTGAAAATTCCACTTGTGTTTAAGAAAATAATTAATCATTAATTATTTCTAACATATATAATATTTCAAAGTATTTTATATAATTAGATTTAAAATAAAAATCAAATATTATGATATTGAACTCAGAACTTTATTTTATTATATGTTATAATTAAGAAAATGATCTCTTTATATAATTACATGTAAAGACAACTTTAGAAAATATTGCTAAAATAACCATTATACAATAGTTTAATAACCCTATATTTAATATTTAAATAATTAATTAATATTGCTTAATTATCTGCAGAGATATAATCTATATCTATGAAATTATTAATAATAATTCAAATTTAATTAGTACTTTTGATTGTGTTTAATGCTCAGTAAAGCAAATACATAATTCTAATTTTATTGTTGTATATTAAAAGAAATCTTTAAATACAAGTGTTGAATTTATTATTCTTGATTTTATAAATTAAGAATCTTTTAAAAAATGTCTGCCTTTAAATGACTTAATTTACATTGATGAAGTTATCGATGTGTAATTTGAAATTTTATCTATTCAATTAATAGAAGGTAATTAATATTATGCTAAATTAATTATATTGTTATCTTCATCTTTTAGTTAAGTACTTGATTTAAATTTTAATAAAGAAAATATCTCTAATGAAAGAAAAACAACCATAAGAGCTTTATCAAGTACATCCTAATATCAAAGTTTATTCATGTTAAATAATTAAATTTTGATTATTGCATATTTTGATATTTAGAAGTTATCATTGGTGATATCTATGTATAATCTCACTGAACTCAATTTTACAGATAAGATATATACATTATATATGAACTTTTCTTTTATTTATAAATATAATGAATCTCATTTTATAGTGATACCTAATAATGTTGATTTAGATCATATGATTTATGAAGTTGGTTCATATAAGATTAAAATTGATAATGAATAAATCAAATCCTTTAATTTGACTTGTAAGAATTCACTATCTGAGGTTGAATTTTAAATTGATTTATTGAATGAAAGCAAAGAAAAGAATTTAAAAATCTAATTATTTATTATTATAGTTTGTGAAATAATTTTAATTGGCTATCTACTCAAAAGTAAAAGAAAAAGAGGAAGTAGATCTAAATAACTTTAATGATTATTAATTTTTTATTTTATATATATTTATATAATGATCAATTAAACTATATAAATATATCAAAATATTATTCCTTATTAAATCATCTAACTGGATGAATTTGTTTAAACAGATTCGATTTAATTTATAATAAAAAAAAAAGAGATATATACAAAATAACCAAATTAAGTTTCAATATTGTTTAGAAAATTATTTATATTGAATTAAACCTTAAAAAATTTATTTAACTAATTCAAAACTAAAATTAAGATTTTATAATGTTTTCATTTTAAATAATCTTCTTTTTTACCAAATAGGCTCTTAAGATCTAATTTTCTTAAATACTTTATTAAGAAGTTTAGTAAAGTTGATATAAATAATAAATTCATTTTTTAGAAATATTTTGTATAATCATTTTAATAGCTTTAAATATATATTTAAATCTGCTAAAAAAATAATACAGTCTATGAAAATATAATCATTTTCTAGGTAATAAATAAATTTAAAGAACTATTAAAGTTAAATGATAAATCATATTTGGAGAATAAACCACTATTACTTTAAAATGTAAAATTGGAATATAAAATAAATATAAATATGAAAATAATTTCTTTTCTTTATTATTATTATTTAATGTTAAAATAATCTAAAGGTTTTATACTAAACATTTAGAAACAAGAATACTTAATAAGTATTATTATCTCTTTGTAGAGTTTCTATAAATTTTATCGATTGATTGGATGTTCTTCTTTTAATAGCATTAAACTTATATGGAAAATTTTGATACATCATTTCAATATTGAGTATGAGTTAAACGTTATATAATTTAAATATAAAAAAATGAAAGTGTAAACAATTCGAACTATTGATTTCAGCAAGGCAAATAAATAGATAAAGAATCTTTCTCATAAATTTCTTTAGAGCAAAATGCTTAGGAAGAACAAAGAGAATTGTAGCCCCAATACAATTTCTTAAGAGAATGCAGCAAAATAACTTTTAGAAGCCCTTCGAAAACCTATCCTAAGATACTTAAGAGATTTGATTATGATTAAAGAATCAATGGTTTATGAGAGAAATATGTTTGATGAATTGTGTTCTTTAGATTTTAGTGAGAATTCAGATGTGGGAGAAGGTTTCAAGATTTCTTTTGTGACCTTAAGTATCAAATAAGAGAGCATTATTGATTTTTAGAGTATTTAACCAACTAATGCTCCTATAGTATTATTTAAAGTACTTTAAAACATAAGAAAGAAGAAGATGATGATTTCTTTTTAGGAAATTAAATATTATATACTTAAAAGGAACTTAAAATCAGTTAATAAGAGATTATAATATGCAAAGAGAGAGCAATTAAGAAAAATAGTAATAAATAAGATGAAATAGGAGGAATTATTGATGTAAGTTTACTTAAAATATTGGTCTTAATAAACATAAATTTTGATATTTTTTGATCACTTTGGTTCTAAGATTAAGAAGATTTATAACAATAAATTAAGATAAGACTTTAATGTTATGAAATGTTAAATTCGAAGGATAGAGGGGTTTAGTAGATTAATAAGGTTAATAAATATTAAATTATTTGAATATGGATAATGTTTGAATAAGTTCTATAAGAATTTGCATTTGCAAAAATGTTTATAGAAGGTATTCAAAAAGTAAATTAAATTTTCCTTTTAATAAATACAATTTGTGAAATAAAGATCTCCGATTATATTTGAGTTATTGTATTAATTTCAAAATAAGCTATAGAAATAAAGCATTAAATTATTATTATTACACTCATTGAGATAGTAAAGGAGATTGAAGTCTTTTTCATATGGATTATAGGATTTAGAAAAGATATTACGAAAATTAGATTGTAAATGGGGATTTAATAAATTATAAAATAAATAAGAATATAAAAGAATGATGTTACCTACAAAATATTTAGTTATGATACTTAAAAAAATATAAGATAGATAAAAGAATTGGGTTTTGCTCAAATTAAATTAATGAAATATTATAAATATATTTAATGTCTAAAAAGCAAAATTCTTAGTCAGCTCCAGAGATTCTATAATATAAAGTGCGACCTCAAAATCATTATTAAATAGAATAGTTAGTGTTAAATGACATGAAAAAAAAAATAATAAATGATGAGATGAATTCAATCTAATTCTATGATATTATCTAACCAGATATGGTATAATAGATTTATATTTAGAATGAAATTGTTACTACTAATCCAAAGGATCTAACAAAGAAACCAATTAAGTTACATAAAAAAGTAAAACGTTCAGATTTAGAGTCGAATTTAAGAAGTAAGTTAGTTAATGAACCTGGTGGTAAATTGTTACTTTAAGAAATGTATGTATTCTATTTATTAATTTTAGTTATGAAAAATTAGATGAAGATGAGAATACTTAATAAGTAAAAGCTGTGCTTCATAAAGAAGAATAATTTAAGGGAAATAGATAATATAAACCAGAAAGTGATGATTTGATGGTGGCCAATTTAGATTAATGGTGGAAGTAAGTAAAAATAAAGAAGTAGTAAGAATTTGAGAAAAAATAATTAGAAATTGAGAAAGAAAGTATTTAGAATATTGTTTTAATTTAGAATAGGTAATAGCCTAACTCTAAAAGACAGTATCAATCTCTTCATTTAGAAGAGGAGCTGTAGATAAAAGAACTGGTACAACACTTTTACCAGCATTCCCTAAATTAATGTAATCTCAATCATCTGATGATAAATCTCCATAAACTGAAAATCAAAATCTTTTTTAAGCTAAAGTTAAAGGTTCATTGGCTAAATTATCAAATTTAAAGAAAGCTGAATTATTACATTAAGATATGGGTTTAGTCAAATAATTAGATAAGTATCTTTAATAAGGATCTACATTAACTTCATAAGAATTAATTAATATTGAATAAGCACGATAAAAATAATCACATGAAGAGAAATAAACAGATACATTGATATTTGATTATACTGTTGAGGGTTTGAAGAATAGTTTACATACAAGAATCAAGATGCATTTGACAAATTTCTTAAATGCAAATGAAAGAGCTGTCTTTTATGAAAAATAGACTAATTCAATTTTATAATAAATTAATGCTAAATTAGATAAATAAAAAAAGATAGTGACTAAAAATGATCATGATTTAGAAACTCTAAGAATGGAGAATCATGAAATATACAATAGATTAAGATCTATAGAGGATATATAAAAATAATTGAAAGAAGAACTTGGTAAAGTTGGAAATAACAATAATTCATAAATATAAAAATCATAGAAATCTTCTAATGTAGATTTTTATATGGCTACAGTTGGAAAATAAAATGAAATAGAGTCTCAATTAGAAACTATGAAAGATAGTTATAAGAAATATAAATTACAAATTAAACTTAATTTTAAATAGATTGAAAAATTAGAGACAGAAAATTCTAAATTAAATAAAAATAATAAAGAATTATTAAAATCTATTTAAGGATTTCTATTAGAATTACTTAAAATTGGTCTCGATTGTAGAAAATAAGGATTATGTTGGATTGTTAAGGCTGTTTGGGATACAAATGAAAAATTAAGTGATGATAATTTTCCTTCTTATTTAGATTCAAAAGGAAGAGAATTTCTTATTTAAAAAGCCAAAAAAATTATTGAATTAAATGATTTATTTATTAGAGCTCATCAACTTTTTGGTAGTTATCATGGAAAATTAGAAACTTCATAAGATAATTTAAATACTTCCATCTTATCCATTTTATCTAAAAATCATTTTTCGTAAATTGATTCTGAAGATATTAAAAGAAAGACTTTAAGAGATAGGAGAATGAAATCTAGTGGAGAAATTAATTTATTACTTAAAGGATTAAATAGAGAAGAAAAATAGAGTATTTAAGGAACTCTTACATAGATTTTCTAAAGTAAATAAACTTTGAATGATATAATATACACTGAAGCATAGAAGAAAATTTAAAAAATGTTTAAAACTGAAGTTAGTGTTATCTTAGAGTAATCTTTTATATCAGAAGATAAAGAGAAATTAATTAGAGAATATTAATAAATTTAAAAAGATATTGAATTAAAAGAAGTCTTGTTTAAGAAATTTGAAGATTTGGAATTATAGAGAATTGTTAAAGAAATAGAATATAAAAAATATTTATAAAGGTATTATATTATATTTTATAATATTAAAGATTTTCTGTAGAACCATTATAAGTATTATCAGCATTATTTGGATATGTGAAAGCAGAGAGAGAATTAATTAAATAGGGTATGATGCATATATCTAATAATTGAGTTTTTTTTTTTAAATTGATCATTAATTTTTTGTAGTTTTTTTTTGGCAAGGCATCATTTATAATTGAACATTCTTCTTTACTTATAATTTTTATGGTTATTATTATTATTATTATTATTATTATTTTTATAATTATTATAAAGATGTATTTATTGGATCTTCCTCTTATTATGCATTTTCTACTATTTCATTTAACTATTTGTTATTAACAGGAGGTTTCTATATTTTATTAAATCTTTTAAGAGTGGCTGTACTACTACTAGAACTAGTTGGTTTTGGATTATTAACAGTTGTAGGTCTGATTTCGATTTCTTCTGATTTTTTTGAATTTCTTTTATAATTTGTAATTGGATTTTATTCAACAACTCTCAAAATACTCATAATGTCTTTTTATTTTGAATCTTCAACAGTAGCAATCTCAATAAATATAGATAAAGTATCACCTAGCCATCTTAATATAAAGACTCCTCCTTTGTGTTTTTTTTATATAAGATTATCAACTTTAATTCCCTTTTTAAATTCTTATTTAAGATTTTCAATCAACATTTTTTCTTATTAAATATGTTTTGCTCTATCATTTTTAAGACTGGATATTTTATTTTTAACTAAAAGTAACCATCTATTTAAAAAATGTTTTCCAAAATCATGATTTAATTATTCATAAAATTAAAGTGCATTTTCAAAATTAACTTTAGCTTATAGTAAACTACGTTCTTATAATGATATATAACCACTTGC